TCTGACCTCGCAATTGCGACATCAGAGCCTGCAATACGTACCAGATGAAAAATCTGAAGCTTCTTAAGTCCAATTCACCCCGTAGCCTATCCAAAACTCATCTGAACCCTCGGGGCTCCAAACCAAACATGCAAGCAAGTCTAAAAATATCATACAGACTTGCTCATGCGATCAAATCATCAAAATAACATCAACAACTACGAATTTAACCTCAAATTCATGAAATTACCCAAGAACATCAAAAATTTCACTTTCTCAACTATAGGTCTGATTTATACCAAACCAATTCCGATTCTTACCAAATTTCACATATTCAACTTGATTATTATTTTAAACCTATACCAGGCTCCGGAACTAAAATACAGGCTCTGTACCATCAAGAAAACGCATCATTTCACTTCTAATAGTCTTTATATTTTCCAGCAAATAATTTTCTTTAAAAATTCTTTTCTCGGGCTTGGGACCTTGGAATTCGATTCCGGGCATACGCCCAAGTCCTATATTTTACTACGGACCCTATGGGACCGTCGGATCACGGGTTCGGGTCTGTTTACCAAGAATGTTGACCAAAGTCAACTTCATTCAATTTTTAAGGTTAATTTCATTATTTTTCTTAAATTTTACATAAAAGCTTTTCGGAAACACGCCCGGACTACGCACGCAAATCGAGGTGAGACAAGAAGAGGTTTTCAAGGCTTTGGAATGCAGTTTTGACTTCTAAAACAAGAGGTGACCTTTAGGGTCATCACATGGGTCATCACATGATTCCAGCTTATATTGCTCCTGAGGTCCTATCCAGAAGAGAATATGATGGCAAGGTATCTGTGTAATTACTTGTGCGATCTTTTACATTTGGTGGAGTGGCATTATGAAAATGATTGTTGTCTGGCATCAATTTGTGTGCAGCTGTATTTGCATCTATATGGAGTAATCTGTAACATATGGTCTTCATTTCCTATCTGGCGCAGATGCTTATTTTTATTAAAGATATAACTGACGAGATCTCTTATGGCTACGGTCGCTTATACTTGATAAGTACTGATACTCAATTCTGATACCTCTGATGCCTGATGACGTGTGCTTCTTGAAGATTGTGACAAGGATACTGAACCTATTGTTTCGCAAAGTTGAGAAGTTGTTGTTACCATGCTTGAGTTCGAGAAATCAGACAATTCATTTGACCTTCTCTTTATGCAGATATCCGGATTGTGAAACTGTACCATGTCACGGTTTGAGGCTGTATTTAAGAAAATTATGTTTTTCAACCAAAGTGATTTTGTTCCTTAAGAAGCTTCGGAATTTCTCACACCTTAATATCATTTCTCGGGCAGAATTGTGATTACTATACAAAGTTGTACTCCCAATTGATAACTTAGTTGATGGGTGCATCCATCGTAACTACGACTTACTCCTCTTGAAGAACATTATAACATCAGATTCATAGTTTAAAGATTTATTTTGGTATTTTTACATATCAATAAAATCATACCCCTAACAAACAGTATACGAATTTTTTTGCAAGAAATATCGAAGATCAACAAACAAAAAAGATCATAGTCTCCTTAAAAATAAAATTGTTGGCAATATGAAGTATGCAACAATCAAATGGTTATCATCTCTCGTGCCTGGAAGATGTTAAAACAACAGGGAAAACATCGGTTAGACAGGTTTAACCCTGTCTAATGTTTGTTCCCATTTGTTTAACCACCAGACAAGAAAGTTTCACATGTATCTTGATCAGATATGACTTTACTTCAACTGAATATAGGTTGAGTGTTGAAGGTGTCATGCAAAGTGGAATGTAAGAAGGAAACAGGGAAGAGCTACATCAAAGGTACTACATAGAACTAGAGAAAAGTTACGCCAAAATTTACATGGATCTTGTCCGAAGTACTTATACCTGGAGATGGATCTTCTCCACAGGGTTGGAATAGCCTTCCTCAGTACTGGGTGACTGTTGTCAGTGATGCGTATATATTTCGGGATGAATCTTTCATGGGCTGAGTGGCCATATACAGTAACTAGTGGTTATGACATTTATCCTTATAACAGTAAAGTTTGATTTTGCTTATCCTGGTCTCATTGATTTCTCTTTTTACTTATTCAGTTCTTTATTTATTTATTTGTTTTTTATTATTTCATTTAATACACCTTTTATTTGTCTTTGAATGGCTTTTATTTAAATTTTTCACAATAATCTCTTAAATTTTGGAGCAGCAAATCACAGAAAAATGTGAACTCAAAAGACAAATACTGAAAGATATTGATACAGCAAAATTGTCTCATCAATGGATGAAATTTTAAGTGCATGAAACAAAAAATTTCAATGAAATACATCAGTTTAACCTGTATGAAGCTGTACTCTTCCTTGGAGGGATCTGCATATTGCCAAACATACAAATGTCAGTTTGAGTGGTACTTTCTTTTAATTTTATCAATGTCTTTTTTTTGAACGATAAGGATATTATCAATGCCTTTTTTAACTAAACATCCAACATATTACACAATATTAATAATTTTATCAATGTCACAACTGGAGCCATATGAACATTTTCCGCCAACCTAACTACCACAGTAAAAGCAATGGACTAATGAAATGGACTCTCCAAGGGTCAAGATTTATCCAATAGATGTGGCGCTCAATAGGGTTGTAGGTTAGGGGTAGTAGAGCTTTCCTTACTTCATACCCGGGGTGAGGTGGTGTTCGATAGGGTTGATCTTAGATTGCTTGCGGTTTATGTTGAGTCCACACTATCCTTGCTGTTTATCTTAATCTCGGGCCTTGGATACTGGTTACTGTTATTGCATGTCATTTATCATTTGGTTTTTATGCTTCTGTTACTATTACGGTTTTTACTGAAGTTACTAATGAATTGTCTTTTCTTGTTTTTTATTTCCATCTTTCTGAGCCGAGTGTCTATCGTAAACAATCTCTCTGCCCTATGGGGATAGGGGTAAAGTCTGTGTACATATTACCTTCCTCAGACCTCACTTTGTGAAATTTTACTTGGTAATTGTTGTTGTTTTGTTGTATGTGGCGCTCAACATTTGGCATAAACTGTGATAGGTTGAGAAGGACTACAATGTATACAAACATTCGTATAGTTACAATGAAAACTATAAAAGTCAATAGAAAGGAAAAATTTATTGATGAGGATTATCATCCAGATCAAGGGCAAGTTTTAAGGAGTTAACTAATTAATGAGTTATTGGTATCAGATTAAAAAATGACCAATCATCTAAGATTGCATTTCTTAGGAACGTTGTTCTCACTAGCTGCTTACAACAAGATATTCCTTTATGACTTGAATGTATAAATATCCAGTGCCTTTATATATTCATAAAATAATACCATTTGCAACTTTTGTGTCTACCGCATTTTCCAAATAATATTTTCTTATAAAAATTATATTTATTATTTTCGTGCAACACACGGATACGGATACTAGTATTCATATAACGTCACATGAAAAAAAATCTCTTTTGCCTCTTCTCCTTGTCTCAGTTCTAATTGATTAGTTCCTTTCTTCGTGCAAGCCCTTGGTTTGGCCCTTGTTGTATTACATTTTCTGATGTTTATAATGAATTTAAGTCCTACTTGTTTTACATAAATTTTTATCATATTATATAGATTCTTGTGGCTCGGCCCTTCTCCGAACCCCGTATATAACGGGAGTTTAATGCGTCGGGCCGCCTAAAATCATTATATAAGTAATATGTATTATCACTTTAAATATAAGATTCTTAAACTTTAGCAAATGTTGAGTGTTAAAGTGGGAAAGAATTTATTTGTAAATTTATTATTAGTATTATTATTGTTTTTTCTTCTTTTCTCCGGAGAAAGATGAGATGGCCTTAACACTCTGTTTGGATCATTGTTTCCCGTCATTTTATAATGTATTGAATTGTATTGTATCATGTCGTTTTATGAATACAATGTTTGGATAGATTATATTGTTTGTTATTGTTAAGTAATATTTTGCTGTTTGGTTTGACTGTATCGTACTGTACTGTAACTGATAAGTTTACTAAAATACCCTCAATTATTTAAATATTAAATTTAATAAATATGCATAAAAATAATTTTAAAAAACAAAACAGAAGAAGGCAAAACATCTTAAGAAAGGAAAACAAAGGAGCGAGATAGAAGAAGGCAAAACAAAGGAGCACATCTAATTAGAAGTGAGATAAAAGTAAATGAGTAGAAAAAATTAAACAGAAGGTGGCAAAACACCTTTAACGTTTGCGGTAGAAGTTCTGGAAATAAAGTATGTTATAGATTGGAGATTTGGAGTTAAAATAGCAACAAAAAAAAACTAAAGGGTAAAATAAAATTATGGGGTAATACGTTAAGGCATAATTGAGAAGAAAAATAGGAAACAATCCCACCACACTAAATCGGTTATTTAAAAAAAGGGACTTTTCATTGTTCCAAAATAATAGATTTAACAATACAATATAACTAATTTTAATAAAACAATCAAAACAAACATTGTTTGAAATAACGTTATAATATGATACCAGGGTAACAACCATCCAAACAAGCTGTAAATGCCCCCCAAAACAAAGTCCCAATTTTGTTTCGGACCTTCCAACCTATTTATCTTTCGTTTGCCCAAACAACAAACCAGAAAAACAAAACCATCAAAAGATCAAAAACCAATCAAACGAAAAAATTTCCCAAATCTGACAACCTTATTACAATGATGGCAGCAGGTAAAGCCAACCCAAATTCCCTTTTCCTTTCATCTTCATCAACCCATTACTCTTCTTTCCCACCACTTCATCGAATTTCTTTAAATAAGCTTCCTTTTTTGCCCCGTTCTCAATGTTCAAACCTTATTTCTGCTTGTTCCAAAAAACCCATTTCGGGTTCTGTTAATTTGGATCCGAGTATCACTAGTTTCGGGTCCGGGTTAACAAAGATTGATTCTTTGGATGAAAGTGCTGAAGTTTCGTCTTCTCCTTCTAATGCCATTGATTTTCTCACTTTGTGTCATAGTCTTAAGGTAAATGTATCATTGCATGTGAATATTTTTGTGATTTTCATGTACTTTTTAATCTCTTTTGAGTTTAAGTTTTGTGCACTATTTAAGAAATCCGATACTTACTAGGTGATCACAGGTTACTCTATTTAATAGCATTGGTAATTTCTGATAAATGGTAAGTATCCTGTTATAACATTACACTGATGTGATAAAATTGTGTTCTTTTACAAATTTTATATATAATGCGCATTCGCGTAGCAATTTGGGAAGAGTAACTGAGTTCATTAGTTTAGCTGCAGAATGGAGAATTGGATATGCTTGTTAAGGGGTTAAAGTGGGGAAAACTTGGGAATTTGGCAACTTGGGTTGAATTTATTTGAAAGGCTATAGTTTGATGAAGTAAAGGAATGCACTTTTGTGGTATCTAGGCTTTCAAAACTTCTAAGTATAAGGAATCCAAAAAAAAAAAATATACTTGGTTGATTTCTTCCCATCTGCCTAAGCGTTGGTAGGCAGAATTGCTCGGTATACTGTGCTAGTGGAAGGTAACAAATTAGCAAGTATCGGGTGGAATAGTTGAGGTGCGCGCAAGTTGGCTTGGACACCACCATCATAAAAGAAAAAGTTTTAAGTAATCAAAATCTAATAAAAGGTTCTTCAATGGGATGACTGAGTGGTTAAGACATAGGAGTGGCAACCTGGAGAACTTAGGAGCCAATCTTGACAGGAAGGTTTCCGTAGAATCTCTACTTGTGGGCCATAGCAAGTTGTCGAGTGGATTACTCGAGGTGTGAGAAGTTGGCCGCGACATTACCGTTATAATAAAACGGTATTGAGTTTAGATGTTAGGCTATCCTGGTCAAATATGTATCAATACACTTAAGATGTAAAAGAAGTCCCTTTTATGGGTTGCTTTGTGTTTGGTTTAGTGCAGTTCATAATAGCTTTCTTGCGCTATGCGGTAGATTGTAGCATTTGTAACCTGAGCGCAGTTTGGCTTCTCTATACACAGTCAACTTGAAAATTGTAGCAAACACTGATATATCTTGTAAAGTGGTCACCAGCCAAAACCAGAACCAGAACCACAAACTTAAGCTTTGCTAAATGAGCAGTTAATCTTTAATAGGAAAAGCCGAAGGGAGGGATGGTATTTTTCTGGTTCCAACTGAAAAAATGTTTCTTCTCAGCAGCTTTCTCTGCCTGAAGCTATCTGATTCTTCAAACTCATGTAGGAAATTGAGTGTGTCGTCTTGGACAAAGTTTTGGTAGTACATTATATAAATTGTGTTAGAAATAAGAATAATGTCATCCGTTTTCTCCTGCAGGTCTTTTTCAGTTGACCTCTTTTTGCTGTGCAATGCTGTCTTAATGATTGATTGTATTTTTTAATTTTTTGTATTGCATTTTGTCTATGCTCTACATTCAATTTGGCTAGGATGTGTCCCAAGTTTGCTGCTATCTTTTGTTGGGAAGTATAACACGTGTCTCTGCTTGTTTTGTAGACCCAAAAGCGGATGGGATGGGTAAATCATGGGATAAAAGGTCCTGAATCTATTGCTGATCATATGTACCTCATGTCTGTGATGGCTTTGATCGCTACTGACCTTCCCGACGTTAACAGGGAAAGGTTGGATTTAATATAACTGATATAGAACTTGCCATTTTGATTTTAAATTTGTTGATATTTTTTTATGCTTCTCCTATGTAGCTAGCAAAAATGTAGGGGGAATAAGGGGGGAGAGGGGNTGAAACGTAGGGAAAAGAAATGTTACTTATATAACTAACATTTTTCCAAGCATTTACAGTGATTAGCATGTCCATGCAGATTAATGAGAAATCTTAATGGAACTTATATCTGATTTCTCTTCTAATGCATCTGCTAAGAAAAGCTAAAATACGGATGACCTCGTGGAGAATTTTCTATGTTGTTCTTGCGTTACTGAATTACATGTTACTAGAACAAGTTGAGAATATTGCACTAACCAAAGGGGTCTTTTAGCCTGTTGGTTTGCTAATTCGGCTGATAATACCATTAAGTGGTCTAACGAAATTTTTCGAAGTTTTGTTTACTAAGGGATCATGGTGAAGTTATATGAGATCCGAATGATTGTAATCTGCTGTATCTACCAACATAGAATTGCCTTGGTAGAACCTAGGCTGCTGTTCGTGTTGATTGCTCAAATGTGGTGTGTAGTTCTTACAGAGAAACCTGAAGTTTGTCCATGCAAACATGATCTCTATCCTCGTTCTAGCGTGTTACTTTCTTGATGCTTATGTTCATCTTTTTTGCTTCATCCTAGGTAATTGCTACTTGATTTATGTAACAGGTGCATTAAGATGGCCATTGTTCATGACATTGCTGAAGGTACTTCCTCAAAACACAAAAGTATCTTTCTAAGAGAGCTTTTCTGTTTTTGACTTGTAGGCTAAATTATTTGCAGCGACTACATTTTTATATGATTTATCCAGTATCAAGATG